TTTTTATGTTGCTTAACTGTGAAAGAAAAGAAAATCGCTCACATGCCCCGTCAACACTTTTTTGAAAATCTCGAAAATTTCAAACTCATTAAAATATGGATGAGGTGAGAGTCATTGATACATAAATCAAGTACAGCATACTACAAGCACTAAAAAATACCATTTTATCAAATTCCGAAATCCCGGGATCGTTCAGAGAATGAATCCTGAAATTGGGATTCAAAAGTAGCGACACTGGGATACGATGCGAACACCTGGTGTGAGTAATGACTGTGATTATAAAGTGATCGTATCATATGAACAATGTGTTGGAATGGCATTTATTTGATTGATAGGTTTGTGCATATTCTAGAGGTAACTTTCTGAACGAGCAGATATATGAATTCGGCAATGGATGCAGTCAGGATTCAGATTGTACTTTATACAGCGGATCGACTTGTGAACAATCTACCAATCTTTGTATCGCACCGTTAGTTGTTCTACTCATTCACCCATGATTGCTGACCGGCTCTTACTTAATACAATCTTCTATTCCAGATGAGAAACCGCACCTCGACCGAATCCACCTCCAAAAATCACCCGTTAAGCCATCACCATCAGGACAACATAATCTTTATTACCACTTGTTATATCATCGAACATTACTCACTCAAAACATTGATAAATAAATACGTATTTTAAGGATGCACATCGAATGTAATGACTGATATCCTTCGTAAACTATTTGCTAATAAACATAATGCACTCCGACGCGATGTTGCTTTAGGCCAGGGTGGGCAAGTTGGTTTGACAGCGGGCCAACATATTTTTTCATTGTTTTTTTTCCTTATTTTTTCGAACATGTTTTTCTCTTATCTGTAGGCTTGGGCTTGTCACGAAAATTGTGAAATAGTCAAAATAAAGTAGCTCCACAACGACGTGCGCTAGTTAAGTAAAGACCAAGCGCTGGAGCATTTCTGGGCACTACTGGGTGAGGTGAAGGCCTTCCTGAGCCTAAGCAAGATGCGAATTACAAACAACCACCTTGCCTTTCTACAAGATGAAATATCCATGTCCAATATGACATTTTTGACTGATATTTTTGGTCATCTGAACCAACTTAACCTTCGGCTGCAGGGGAAAGGCAAAATCATTGTGGACATGTTTGAAAAGCTTGAATCGTTTACCAAGAAACTGGAGTTGTTCGAGTCAGACATAACAACTGGCAGGCTCTCGCATCTCAGTAAACTGAAATCACAGGCACGGGGACAGGTGACAGATATAATGGTGGATTTCATCGAACAGCTACGGACCAACTTCAAGTCCAAATTTGACGACCACTCCATCCGAAGGGACATCATCGCTTTTGTTCGTGACCCTCTCGCCGTCCGAAATGCGGATATATCCTCCCTGTCTAAAGAAACCATCCCCTCGTTGGATTAGGCCGCATTTCAGTTGGAGCTTATTGATTTCCAAACAACCTCTGTTGTCAGTGATGCGCTCAAGAAAGCAGAATCCGTGCATAATTTTTGGATAACATGCTCAGATGAGTACAGATGGATCAAGAAAATGTACATGTCAGCGACACACTTTTGGCCCGCCAGAAACTTTCGACATAGAAAATTCAATGTCGAAAATTCTCAGTGTAATTCGAAGCCTCTTTTAGCCCCTCAAAATCAATTTCTCAAATTCATCTGGCGAAACAAAAAATTTTGTCGGCGGGCCAATTTTGGCCCGCGGGCCGTAGGTTGCCGATTGCCGGCATAGAAAGTGATTCCTATTCAAAAGAGTGTTCTCAGATGATGGTCAGTCAGAATTCTGACAAACACAACTTTGCAAAATTTCTTTCAGTGAACGATCGTGTTAAAAGTAAGTTGTGAATAATACAAGAGTGAATGAAATGAGAAATTGATTATTCAGTATTAGCATTGTGACATTGCATCAAAGTAGATATGCACACTATCAGATTGTCGTTGATGAACATTGAATAGTAGCGCGAGATGTTCACATAACTGCGCATCATTCGTGGCTATTCACGGCAGTGCCCTGTGATTTGTGTGGATCACATTTGTTAGCGTTATCAGCACTGAAACCACAGATAAAAGCGTCACTGTTACTCAGGCATTCGAATTCTATTATTCCAGTTTATTTTCATAAGCGCTATTGAAATTGTCTGAAGAAAATGTCATGAATAGAGGATGGCCAACCTGTCATCGGCTTTTTTAGTTGCCATATTTGTCGAGTTTGCAGTTGACGATTCCGGTTGCGACATTTGACCGTTTGTTTCGACTAGCTGAATCCCTGTAAAGCTTGTATACGATTGTACCGTTACGATCATCAGTGAGATACTATTTATCGCAGCGCTTTCAATTTATTCTGATCATAATTCTTCCATAACGGTCTTTTTGCCGATTCTACGCTTGAAAAATACAATAAAGCCGAAATCAGCGTGCAGTTAACTGCTTTCATACCCAGGCAAATTTGGTAGGTCCATGCACCAAAAAGAGCTCCGAACATTGGACAGACTATCGGAATCCAAAACCATCGGTATCCATTGACACTGCAATTGGCGATTCTACTGCTACGATTCGTCCTTATAATGTGTTATTGGATAGCATTCATTTTCTAGTTAAACAGATGTGACTTGGACCTTATGTTTTCTCGGTTAAGACTCGACAGGAATTCTTTAATTTCGACTTTTTATAGCTATTTTCCAGCCATCTTTTCCGTATCTCGATGTAAGTGGGATGGACAATCAGTTGGTGAAATCTGTGGAATTTGTTGTTGTGAAGTGATGATACGACTAAATGGAGATCAGAGTGATAAAATCCATATTTTCAATTTCCTCATTTCCGTTTGTGCATATGTGATTGCAAGAGTACCTAAAAGTTTGCCATCCCCATCCGGCAACGAGCGTGAACAACCGCGGACCAAGATCTCTGGCCGGGTTGATCGCATAGCCACAATTCATACCGATACTCATCCCAATCAGCGCAACAATTAAACCGATTAACAACGGTTGTAAGTGGGATGGAATTCTGTTGTTCTTATCGGTTACAACGCTCACGCAAACACACAAAAACGCTGTTCCGATTATCTGAAGAAACAGATCATTGTATTCATGGTAATAGATATGAGATCGACGAATTTGATTGCATAACATTTATTTGAACGTGGACATTTTTTAAACATATTAATGAGAACTTATGAATGCATGGAAATGAAAGGATGCAATAGAGAGTTAATATGAAAATCATGATATGCAGCAGTATGCAGAGATATTCGANAGGCGTAGTATCAGTAGAACTTTGATTAAGGGACATTATTATAGCGATGAGTTTGAATGATCGAAGGAATTAAGATGAGTAGTAACGAAACCTGATCAAGCACACCGCCAGTCATTGAAAGATACGATGACGGGTAAGTGGCAAAAACACCTGCAGTAGCCAAAGTTCTGCGGTTGCCTTCCAAATTCTGGAATGCATCTGCAAGCAACATTGGGACAAGCAGTTGATTGTTCAGCACAATTTGATCTTAGTTGGGTCATCAATTTGGTGTTGGGAACGATGATTCGAGCGACTAAACATTGAAAGCAGTGAATGTTCAGCTCAAAGACGATCGCAAAGGATCAAAAACGTAACCAACCAAAATAGACTAAATACGTAAGCGCTGCACCAATGAAACCACCGAAAATTTGAGCCAAGCTGTAGATAGCGAATCGAAGTGCCGATAAACGACCCAACGTGAATAGGAAAAATGAAACGGCTGGATTCAAATGACTTCCTAGATGTCATTGATTTAAGTAGAATATAATATCGTTGAACTGAATANAACGGCTGGATTCAAATGACTTCCTAGATGTCATTGATTTAAGTAGAATATAATATCGTTGAACTGAATAATGCGCATTTACAAATTTACATTTTTAGACACCATTCAGCGATAAGAATTTCGTTTCATCACAAACAGGAAAGTTACCTCTCCGAAGGCGCTTCAATGAAGTTGTCAAAACTTCTTGCCAAGCAGCGCCACTAGCAATCTGATGATTTCTAATGGAGACAATGGATATGAGTGAGCTTAATTCAATATTCCTTTAATGTTGTGATCTAAGAGATATCCAGTAAATAGTATATGTGTCAGAGCTCAGAGCTTTTATGGCAGATCGATGACACTAAATGGTGTTCAAGTTATGCGATATTGTTTCATTTCGGATCCAGTCGATTCAGTGGAACGCTCACACTAAAATCATTGGTGAAATGATTGAATATTGTTGAATTGTAGAATTCGGAACCTGATATATTTGCTCCAGCATAAACAGCGAAAACCAACGCTAGACCCCAGCCAAGGTTGACACCGAGCCACGCGTTCAATTTAAAATCCGATAGAATGAATTGTGCACTCGAACAGCATCCACCAAACTTTAAGATATCTCTTTTAAACATGGCATTCGCCACACTATCATGACTACATCGCTTCGAGCCCAAACTTATGCATCAATTGCATACGTAAACTCAAATATCTCTTTGAAATTTTTCGTAAACTTTGCTGTCCGAAATGTATCACAACACTATATGCAACAATTGCAATCTATATCTTATCAGTCTTTTCGTTCTATATCTTCCTTCCTTTTATCTAGCACAGTGGTTCTCCTGTTCGGGTGCTCCATTACTTCTGTTGATGATCTGGCAGATCGCCG